TATATCCTTCATTTGCCTAATTGCCTTTGATGATTATGGATTGAAAGTGGCGAACGGATACACTTTTGGATAATTTGATGCTCTTTCGGGCTTATTTGATGGACTTTTTTTAACAATGGTGGCAGTTTTTATTTTTCAAAATCTCACTGCATTTCTTATCCAAATGAGCGCTTGATATATTTAGAGCTATTGATTTCAAACCCGATTCACCAAATTTACTTTTATTTTCTATTGGTCCGACCCTTTTTATTTGAACCAAAATCGAACCAGTCTATTCAATGAAAACAATTCATGTAAACCATTCAGCTAACACTTCTTTTGTTGGCCTTATTTGAGTCGCCATTTGCCTTAAGCCTCATGTCAAAATGGAATGGGTCTGTTTCCAGCTAACCAGCTTTAATTTGAGAGGCAATATAATGAGTATGAATTTCTTACATGCAGGAATATAATCCATGGCAGTGATGGCCCTGAGACGGCAAAGGATGAAATCGGCCTATGGTTCAAACCGGAAGAGTTGGTAAACTACACCAGCAATGCAGAGAAGTGGATTTATGGTGTGAACTAATTCACCAACGCAACACATTGGCTCTAATCATAAAAGCACTTCGCTTGCGGTTGAATAATTATAATTATCATAATAAGATGTTTCCTTTAAGGTTCGGAGCAACATATTCCCTCAAACCACGCTTTATAGGAAGTATTGTTATATAGAAATTGTTTTGTTCCAAATATATATTTCGGCAAACTACTATGAGACTTTGTCACTCTTAATAATGCATTCTTATACGCCTGGGTTTGCCAATTGCCATTCCACTGATCTGACTCTACTTTGGGTGAATGAACGTATCCGTTTGTGCTGTGTGAGCCTGTGAGGTTTGCCGCAAAGGCTCTGTCTTCTGACAAGTTATTCGACAAAATAACTGTTATAGCACCAGTAAAGCGCAAAAACAGATTTCCTGGGCAAAGGAACAATTTGTCCAAAAGGTAAACCCCAATCCCCCAAAGTCTCGATATCATATGAGACTTTAATTGAGGAAAGGAACTTGTATGAGGTGGACTAAAGAGTATACTATATTGCATTTGATCTTAATAAGTACACAAATTCGGATTTTTAGTATTAATTGAGTAAGAAGGGGTAATGGATCAAGGTTATGGTGCCGATCTTCATGAGTCGGCCAAAAAGGGAATATTGACCTTCGGAATTCGACCTGCGGGGTGGTGTCAGCCCGCAGAGAAGTTGACCTGCGGGAGACTGACGTCGATGAAGTGGTTGGGGGTTGGCTCGACCTTCAACAAGTCGACCTATTAGCGTTATGTAAGCCAACTTAGCCGTATCTATCGGGTGTACTCAACTACTCAATTAACACTAAAAACCCAAATTCGTGTATTTAAAAAGATCAAATGCAATATTGTGTACTCTTTACTTCACCTCATACAAATTGTGTTCTCTCGAATCCCCTTTCCAGGCATGGGGCTGGCCGCTAGCCCATCTACTTGGCCCGGTTCGAAACCTCTAACAGGATGGTCCTAGGTCTCCCATTTCTTTGGCATATACTTCGTATGATATATCGGCCGGCCTCAATAAAATCTGATTTTTGTTGTAAATTCCTGAGAATGACATGTCACGCCCCGGACCTCCCCGGACACGTCAACAACCCGCCGTACAATTCGAATAGTCAACCGCAGTCCAACACATTCATATTATACAAAGCGTCTTGAATATCATTCACACATATAACATCCATAAACAAACATAATAAGTAATTCATAACGCAGCGGAAAATATTGTTTAAAATAAAAGGGCCACACAGGGCTATTCATGAGCACGCAGGCTCTATAGTAAAATATCCATGAGCAAATTTATTAATGTTTCAAATAGAATGGAGGAAGCACGAACCAAGTCTTCTCTCCGAGGAATCACTCAATCAACGAGCACAGGATGCAAGCTCAAGCGTCAACCTGAAATGGTGGTGGGACGCCCCCGAAGGGGTCAGTACTCTATACGGCTATAAAGTATTGGTGTGGCAGACATCTAATAGATATACAACAAGTATTTCAAACACAAGACCCTCAAATAGGGTGATAGTACTTTATGATTGTAATCCTAAGTTACCCCATTCGAAAATATACTTACTTTATATAAAAGTCAAGTAGTCGGCCCGTGGGCCCAAATTCATTTAGAAATCACCATTCCCATTCCCCGTGACTATAAGCCATGACAACTCATAGTGTCCAACCCTAACACATGACATTGTATTCTAGAGCTCGGCTCTACCACATCACCATACAATTCATGTCACTTGGGTCAATTTTCTTACCTTGCGTTCTAGAGCTCGGCTCTATTACATCACTGCGCAAGCCCTAGAGCTCGGCTCTAGTTATATCATACATAGACTACAAGTCTATCACCTTACCATGCATTCTAGAGCTCGGCTCTATCACATCACCATGCACCAAGGTCCAATTCTCAAGCAACCCTATGCCTAGAATTGACATATCAATAAACTACCATGGGTCATCCTTAAAGACTGCCCATAACTTAACCTTAGTCTCATACTAAGTCATTATACACACTTGGAGTATATTCAAGTATACTTAGATATGGTCCCAAAGTACCATATCTAAGTGCTATCGGAGCTTTAATGTATTTAGCTAATAATACTAGAGCAGATATTGCATTTTTGTAAATTTATTAGCTAGGTACAGTTCATGTCCAACAAGACGTCATTGGAACAGGATCAATCACATATTCCGTTTCTCCGTGGTACAGTAGATCAGATATGCAGACGCTGGATACTTATCAGATCCTCAAAAGGTGAAATCACAAACCGGGTACGTATTTACTTATGGTAACACCACAATATCATGGAGATCTATGAAGCAGACATTGACAGCTACATCATCAAATCATTTGGAGTTAATTGCATTATATGAAACCGGAAGAGAATGTGTGAGGCTGCGGTCTATGATTCAACACATCCAAAATGAATGCGGTATGAAGTCTATTACTTGTCACTCGACTGTGATCTACGAAGACAACATTGCGTGCATAGCTCAAATTAAAGAAGGCTACATCAAAGGAGATAGAACGAAGCATATATCTCCAAAAATTTTCTCTACTCACGACCTTGTGAAATAAGAGACGATTAACGTTCAGCAAATCAGATGCAGTGAAAATTCAGCCGATCTCTTCACCAAATCTTTACCCCCGAAGAAGTTCATTGAACTTGTACAGAAAATCAGCATGCGCCGCCTTCAAAATTTATGTTAATTTCAGGGGGAGTATTTGAATGCACTGCACTCTTTTTCCCTTCATCAGGTTTTTATCCCACTGGGTTTTTTCTGATAAGGTTTTTAACGAGTCACTACATCCAAATACTACGACATTATAAGTCGTAATTCTTACCCCTTAAACTTTAAATTTTTCATAAATAAATCTTAATATAACAAATATTTATTCAAGGATGAACATTCAAGGGAGAGTGTTGTAAATTCCTGAGAATGACAAGTGTGAATGTTTCATCCTTGTCATCAGGACACTAATTCATTCCTAGATGATTCATCCCAAGTCTGACTAATATAAATAGGGCATTCAATCCTTTGTAAATTCATTTAAGAGAATTCATAAAATCTCAGATATTAAGAAGAAGTAATTTAGAGCTTATTAATAATATATCTATCTCTTTAATATGTTCTTCATCTTCTTCACTCTTCAATAATTTTTTTTATTTAGGTAGTTGTATTTTAGTAAATAAATTAGTAGTGCCTCAATGGAAAAGGAAAAGTGCCCCAATGAAAAAATAGTGCCCCCATTAATTCTTATATTTGCACACGTATTGAAGCCCACTATCAAAGCGGAACGGATGATCTAAAGATTATCTGCTGTTTTTATTGGATATCTCTTAAGTACTCTTTCATCTTCTTTAGTATTTTGCTTTCGCATATTTCTGTGTTCTTTCTTTTTATATTAAGTACTTTTTTACTGTAATTTCAAATTTTTAATTTGTACTTATTTCACCTATAAATAATTGTCTTGTTTTCAATTTGGGTTGTTTCAAAATAATTGCCTTTTTATTTTTGACTTTCTAAAAATTATGTGTTTCATACTATTTCGATTTTGTACTTATATCTCAATCAATTCTTTTATTTTTTCAACCACTTGGTTTATAAGTATACAAATTCAAAAAAGAGCATTGTGTGTTTTAAATTTGATGTATATTTAAACAATATTTGTACCGTTCTGTTTAGCGGATGCCCCCAATAGCATTTTTTCCTAGATCTGACACTGTCTCAAACACAAAATTCCAACAAAGACAAGTAGACAACCATTGTACTATTCGTCCAATCCCATAAACTAAGGCTATGTTTGGCACAACGAGCTGAAACTGGAGGCTGATGTCTGAAATAAGGGCTATAGTCAAGGGCGTAGCTAGGGGGTGGCCACCCCTGGCCCTGGCCCAGCCCAAATTTTAAAAATGTCTAAATTTTTAGTGTAAAAAATTCTGTGTGATTTTTTTTCAAAAGTATTCTTTTTACCGGCCCAGTCCGGCCCATTGTCCTGGCTCCGCCCCTGGCTATAGTCTGAATCAGAGACAATTGTCTGGAGCTGAACTTTGACATGCTGAATATGAATTGCTATCTGAATGAAATAGTCCTGTTTGGCAAAAAGAGCTGGAAAAGTGCCGGCTAATATGAAATTACATTAAAGGACATATGATTTATGAATAATAGAAAACAAATTATTTTAATGATTTTTATATTTCAATAAAATTAAAATTATAACTTTATACTACTATTATATACTTATTATACTACGTATAATATAAAATTAATCTTTTATATCAACATTACGTTAACTCAAATGTGACCTTTTAAAATTTCAATATATGTATATTTATATTTACTACGATATATATGTATGGGTGTGTGTGAATATATTTCAATATATTTTTAATTTATAAATGAATAAATATATACAATAAAATAATAGCACTATCTTTATATTCCATGCGTGCATTTGGATCACTGCTGCACAAATCTTCCCACTCCTTCACTCTTCAAAGTAAATTCCTCCCCAACACCCAGAAATTCAGAATTCCAGAATTTTTTTTGTTCATTTTTCCTGAAAAGATCAGCTTCTGCCTTCTCCCTAGACATGTGGGTCTTGAATACATCGAGGTCATATGATTTAGGTCTGCATCTTTGGATGCAACACAGCCTTGTCGTCGATTCTCAGTCCGAAGTCATCTCATATAAATTTTAAAGGTATAATACTGTTCAATTCTATAACATAAACATGGTCCGATGAAATAATTATGTGTCCTAGAGAAGAAAACGTTGGGTGTAGTGAATTTATTAGGCTTTGTTTTGAAGGTGGGAGACTGGGAGCAAGATTGAAACCGAAGGTAAAGGAGAGAGGTTAATATCGGAAAAAGGGAATCAAGTCAATCAACTGAAGGGAAACGTTGCCTGCACAAACGTTTCAATTCAGCTATTGTTTTCTAGTTCCAGCTCAAATCAGTTCTTTATCCAAACACCTTTAATTGTGTATTACTTGACTGGAATTCAAATATTTCAGCTCATAATCAGCTGAAATGGTCTGCCAAACAAAGCCTAACTTACAGTTTCAAGTTTAGAAGAGAAACCCTCTGGGCAGGCAGTGATGTTTGCTACTTCCTCTGTTGTGCATCTTTACACACAGTAATATGTGATGTTTGCTACTTCGTCAGTATTTTTTATGGATTTTTTACGGAGTATTTTTTATTAAATTTTTTATTTGTATTTTAATTTTATAAATATTTCATTATTTTTTATTATTTTCCTACAATTTTTATTAATTTATTATGAATTATTACATTTCATTATGAATTAATACCTTTAGGGATATTTAGGGTAAAAGATTCATGGTTTGCCCTATTTGTGAATGATTTAGGACTATAGTCCTATTTTTTATTTTTAGGCAAATTTTTGGAAACCTATTTACGGAGTAATTAATTAACCTAATGTTTTAATAAAAGTAGGTTTCCAAATTTTACATTGGCTTTGCGATACAATCCTGAAGGAATTCAAACTCCCCCTTCAAATCTATAAAATCACATGCCCCATAATCGTCTCCGAATCCCTTAAACTAATTTGAAGTTTCAAATCCGAAGTGAATAATAATCATGTCTTCTACTTCAGAGAAGAAAGTTGTGATCCTGAGGAGCTCCGACGGCGAGGAGTTCCAAGTCGACGAGTCCGCGGCTATTCAGTCCGTCACCATAAAGAATATAATCGAAGAAGATTGCGGCGGCGGCGTTATCCCTCTCCCGAATGTCGACGCCAAAACTCTGGCGAAGGTTATAACCTATTGGAAGGAACTGGCCGCGGCTAAGGACGCGGCCAATATGAAGGAATTCAATGAGAAATTCATGGCGGAGGAGGAACAGGATTCGGTGGTCGCGCTAATCATGGCGGCTAATTACCTGGACACGAAGCCGCTGTTGGACATTCTGTGCCAGAGGATCGCCGATACGATTAAAGATATGTCGCCGGAGGAGGTACGAGCGTTTTTCAATATCGAGAATGACTTCACCCCTGAAGAAGAGGCCAAACTCAGATCGGAGCATGCTTGGGCTTTCGAGTGATTATTTGATTTTATTTTGAATGTGAATGATTATTTTATTACTGAATTTAATTCAACGTATCTTTTTCTTAATGGAATTTAATTTCTTATTCTCGGATTATGTTTGTTTATATTAAGAGCAGTACTTGATGAACACAACTTTTTGTATACTCGTCTATGTATACATCTAATTTCTAAATTTTCTGAATAAGTTTTCGGTGTACACAAACAACAAACAACTAGATAATCAGAAAGTGCAGTAAGTTTCAAGAATTTATTTGACTGTCTTCCCCATCGAATTTTGAGCTGAAATTTGGTATGGACAAACTAGACTTAATGAGGAACATGCTCAAAAAATTTCATCAAAAAATTCCATCGGGAACCGCCCCAAACAGTAAAGTTCGGACGGTACCTCCCGTCCCTCCGGAGAGACCTGAGCAGTCCTCACTAGATAATATAAACAAAAAGTATACTTTTTGTGTGGGGATCCGGAACCTCTGCCTTGTTTTACCATAAGGTAGGGTGTCCGGCCTTCTTAAGCCGTCTGATCAATAATCCAACGGCTGAAGATCTTGGAGCTCCGCATCTCGAGGCGCCTGCTTCCCCTTCTGTCCGTCGGATGCCGCAAGGCACCTCTGCCGCACGGCAGAGGATCTGAATCCTTGTGTGGGACTAGATAAATTTTTCTTATATATTCAGGGGTGGATCCAGGAATTTAGATTAGATTGGACTGGAGAATAATTATACTAGACTTAAACATTAGATAGGTTGGCTAAATATGAAAAATGAAAAATGTACACTAAAAAATTGAAAACATTTAAGTTGCCCTGGATTTGAGCTCACTATAGCCTATATGTAGATCCTCTAATATTATTGCTCTCGTTCTCTTGTTCTCCTTTCATTTTATAATTAGAATTTTTTACGGATTTTTTTACGTTATTTAAATATTTTCTCAGTTGAGGATCTGAGGGACATATTATTGTTTAGTACTATCAATGCCTAAACTATCGACCATGCGACATAACATCAAGAATTTTCTTTGAAAGGAAAAAATCAAATATATTAATTAATTGCTTGTTAATTCAAGCAATTGTTCGCTAAGCTAGTTGTTTCGAAGTACAAGTTAAACTTACATCGAAATAACCACTAGCCGCATTGAATAAATGAATAATACGGACATAACTAGCTTATGGTCACACAGTTTGCAGATCGTTTACAAAACTGAGCAACAAATCTAACATCATTTTGAAGAATGTGTCTAATATCATCGATAATAGTATCAAAATATGAACTTCATGAGCCTTTTTCCTATCATGTCATGATCAGTTTTGCATTTGCTTCTAACTCGATTTAATTCCATTCTTGATCGATTCTTCGCCCATGAGAGCGTTGCTCTAACTCCGAGTGTTTCTGAACACGACGTTCTTTGACCTTATCAAATTCATCTATGACAGGCTTAACGTCGATTTTGTTGGCAAATTCCTTTTCAATAAAGATGGTCAAACGATCGGCAAGAAATTCATCATTCATCTTGTTACGAATTTCATTCTTCATGTGTTTCGTTACAGAAAATGATTTTTCTGTTGTTGCAGTCGAAACATGTAAAGTCAATACAAGATGAATTAATCTTGTAACCATTTTTAAGTGTTCTTCCTTTCTGGATTTGACCAACCTTTTACTCAACTTCACAAAAGAATGAACTTGAAACTAAGAATTTTGAACTATGTCAGGTTCATAAAATTGCAACTAACTCTTCAAAGCATGCCTCTCGTGAGCCTGAAATTATCTGGATAAAACTCCAAAGCAAGCTTGTAGATATTATCAACATTATATGATTCAAATGAATTTTTTGGATCCCTAGCAACCCTAAGTCGAAGCAATTGAACTGATGATTCGTTGAATCTACACTCCAAATTTGTCAATTCAAAGTCAATACTTTCGATGAAAAATTCAAAACGATAATAATGCTCCATATCTACCTCTTTTTTACCACGGCTAAGCTTGCTCATCATGTCAGGCACATTAAATTCATGCTGCAAGCAAAAGTGTTTGACTTTCTCAAACAAGCTCACCCATCTGTCATTTCGCAACTTTTGAAGCAAATCTTTAGCAATTTCAATAAAACCAATTAATGCCGATAAGATGTCAACATTATTTCGTTGTAATGCTTGACAAACAAAATCTGTTATACACATAACTGCTTCCATTAAATGTAAGCCAAACACAAAATCAAAGCTCTTAACACTAGTGCAAGCACCGTAAGCTTCAATTCGAGCTTTGGGATTTGGACCATCACATGCAATACTCATAAGAACTTTACATGTTGCATTATACATCTCAATCATGCTCAAGATAGAATCATAATGAGAGCCCCAACGAGTATTATCTGATCTTTGTAAGGATGACATTTGATTTTTTCCTTGGCCTCAATCCCGCTCACCACGAGCTAACCTGCCAATGACTTCCAATCTATGCGCCTCTTGTAATTATGTGTTTCGCTTTGGTGAAGATTTTAAAATGTTGATAACTTTATCCAACAATGAAAAAAAAAACTCAAAACTGGGTCACATTGTTTAGCTGAGGAAACCAGAGTCTATTGCAACCTATATATGCGCAAAACAATGCACATAATATGTGTATGGACAATCATTCAAAAATAATGCTTGCAATCTATTCCATTGTCCACACATATTACTTGCACCATCATACCCCTAACCTCGTAACTTTGAACCTGAATATTATACTCAGAAAGAACCGCACTTATTTCATGCTTAAGTGTTTCAGACGAAGTGTTAGAAACACCTTTAATAGCAAAGAAACGTTCAGTCACAATACCTTCAATGTTCACAAATCTAAGAATAATAGCCATTTGTTCTCTATCATATTCATCTTTACACTCATCTGCAAGTATAGAAAAATACCTATCCCCGATTTCCTCACGAATCATACGCCGAACACGATTAGCTAGATGAGCTAAAAGTTCCTTTTGAATATCTGGGGAGGTATACTTGGCATTCTATGGAGCATTACTCAAGACAATATCATTCATTTCAGTATTCCATTCCCCGATATATTTAATCAATTCAATAACATTTCCATGATTGACAGACGTTTCAGACTCATCATGACCCCTAAATCCACAACCTTATAAAGTTAACCACAAAATACTTTTAATGGTTGTCCTTACACGCAAACGATTATTCACCACTTCTTCTTTACCGATCCTAGCAATGACATTGTCAATATGTTGACTTGGTTTCATTAAGGACTCCGCAGAAGTCACACTCTTATTATGAGGTGATGAAGATGATGTACCGAGATGCATAAGAAACACACATTCTTTACCATTATGAACTTGTTTCCAACTATCAAAATCACTAGTCACTAAATCCGAAACACAAGAGGGATGCACAACATCACTGAAGAGAAAGAAAGGAAAACAATATGCCTTATGTGTTGCTCGAGAGTATTCCAACCAATTAAATTCATTGAACCAAGTGGCTTAAAAACAACGTATCTTATCTTTGTATTCTCAGCCTTTGTAAAAGTTAAGTTTCGGTTGATAAGGTCCAAGCATCAAATAATTAAGATCGTTTAATTTCATACATTTTTCCTAACGGCCAATCACTTATCATTTTCCATTTTCCTGGATCCCGCTCAATTACAAGTGCATAAGAAACTACTTCCTCTTGAGCGGATGAGATATGAGGAGTTTCAATTGAGAAATTTAACTCTTGTTTATTTGGTGTGCTTGTACTAGGCTTATAAAACGAACGCAATGTGATTTTTTCCTTTTTGGAAGTAGATTGACTAGCCATACCTACTAAAATTAGCAAAAATGTAAAAAAAACTAATCAATATTTTGTTTAATTCATATTAATATTTTAAGAAACTCACAAATAACATTTGACATTCCTAATTTTTCATTTCACAATTCAAAGCACACAAATCAATTGTGACACACTGAGTCACTAACACAAACTAAAATAACAAATAAAATACTTAAATGAAACTAAAAATTGTTAAAACAAAAAACTGAAGTCTGAAACTCTTACCTTGGCAGCTTGGCTGTGTCGAGACTAACAGACTGTACTCCTTCAGAGAAGTAGACAGCACCTGGCGAGCAGGAGAGGGTGGGCATCCGACCTCCAGTGATGAGAACGACGGAGAGGGTAAGCGGTGGTTCAATGGCGCCCGGCAAACCGGCGATGCGAGTATGGTTGACTTCCGAGTTCTGAGGCGTGCGTGAATACGAGATATGCCTATGTCCATCTCTGGATGCTGCAATTCTTTTCTTTAGACAACTAGATTAGCACTCGACTGTTTGTTTGCACTGGGCCAGAATGGTTCTACATTGGGCCAGTTTTTTTAATTGGGCCATTTCTTAAAAAAAAATTAAAAGTATATATATACTTACATTTATTAATTTATTTTTGTATATATTTATTATTCATTATGTGCAAATTTAAGGTTTTAGTTCTTAACCACTTGCCCAATCAATATAATTCTTAATAATACTATTTCAAGCTGACAAATATTCTCTTCTCGTTAATTAGCTCTTGCAGTTGAAATTAAACTTCATCAATAATATTGTTGGTGTGTACCTACATTGTGTGAATTATGTGGTAGTCTGACTTTGATGAAATGATTTTTCATCAATTCAACATTGTGCATGTCAACTCAAAAGTTGTGTGAATTATGTGGTCCTTCGACTTTGATGGATAGATTTTTTTAATCAATTCAACATTTTCCATGTCAACTCAAAGGAAATTATTGATTTCAGAAAGAAAAAAAATGTCCAGTAACATTCTCCTTGAAACTCTATAATATAAGGATGTTTTTAACATCATCATACTAGTGAGTTTCAAGGAAAATGTTACTGCACACTATGTTTTTGCATAGTAAATTGTGCAAACTAATGTGTGTGAAGAAAACTTTTAAAATCTTTCAAAATATATATGCTTCCGGTGTGGGACTTCTTATTTATATATTACTCCGTACTACTATAAAGTATAAACTACCATTGCATTATCATGGTAGAAAGGATTGACTAAGGAGGGAAATATGGGCATATCTATGTGTTTTGCAATAATTTTAAAAGAGAAATGGTTGGGAATCGGATTAAAAGTATTTGTACATATCTAAATAGGACTTCAATGTTTTTTACTCATAAATAAGACCATATTTTCCGTGTGTTCCAAATTTACGCCCAATTTGTAATTT